CCTCACCTCCTGACTCGCGCGGGTGATCCGGGTAGACCTTGGTGGGAGGAGGCTGCTACTTTTTTGCAAAACTTTTTTTTTTTTTGCAAAACTTGTAGAAGTTACTTTTTTATATTACAGCTTCCAGAATTGCCCAGGCAATGTGGCCAACAGGAATCTGAGCATTTATTCAAAAAAGAAACTTCTCAAGTTCTGGTATAAAATTTGATGTGTGTTACTCAATACATAATTTTCAAAAAGGTAGCCGCTTTCACCAGTTTCACCATGTATAGCAAAAAGAGATGCTGCTTTTTTGAACACTGATTTGGGGCTTCCATTATGTCTGCTATGCTTTTGAAGACTCTCACCTGGCCTAAATAGCAAACTAGGAAAAGTTATTGTGTCACTTTGAATATGAAACAATCCTCAGAACTAGATAGCAACAGAAGCATCTACTCACTTTTGGTTTTTCTTCCAGAAATAGCATGTCATGACAGTCAGCAAAATAGCAGCACAAGTCCCAGCTGAAATGCCCACTTTCAACCAGAAATCCATGGTTTTGCAGATGCTGACTTTTTGTTCTGGGAGAAAAATGCCACCTGCACACAGCTTTGGTTCCCGCCATACATATGTAGTTCTCTATAGAAATAAAAGCAGATGAGTCTTCAGTTGAGCCACAGGCAGAAGGTATGCTCCCTATACAGTTTCATACTAGTTGTTCATGCTTCTCATGACTCTAATTGCAGTGAAATATTTTTTTATTTAAAACATCTGTAACTCTGTATCACAGGATCTCAGAGTGGGTAACAAAGCTGTATAAAACAATTTGAAAAAACAAGATATTTAAAATAACTTAAAACACAAAATTAAAACATTAAAACCATTGCATTAAACCCGTGCAAACCATGATATTCAACTACCAAGGATTCTAATTACCTATGCTTTGACTTGGCACCAAAATGATGCTGAACTTGGTGCCAATTTAGAATTCTTTGCCATAATTCAGGGGTGCATACTAGACAGTGTATCAGAGTGCTGCTCCAAGGGGATAAGAACCAAATGAATGGATTCAAATTAGATTAAAGGAGATTTTGACAAAATATTAGGGCAAGTATCCTGTTCAATATTTACATGTGCAGAGCTATAATTACAGAAGATGCTGCAGTGATCTGAAAAGGTTGCATGCCTGATCATGTGACTTGGTTGCACCACTGTGACAGCCTCTGTAGTTGGAGTTTCATAGGCGTAAATACTGATCAGGATACTGGCCAAGGGAAAATTATCCTGAAAGTATGAGCTGTTCAGCAGTGAAATGATTTATAAGCACAGGCTGGATGGCCTTTGTCAAGAACATGTTGCAGATTCCTGAACCAGCAGAGGATTTGATAAAATTATCCTTGGGGACCCTTCCAAACCTACAATTCTATGATTCCAAGTAGACATGTTTAAGATTAGGTTATAGGCGCTTCCAGGTGAAGCTTTATTGCCATGCCAAGTTCAATGACATTTGTGGGCAGAATTTTTTTCACTTGTAACTCTACTATGTTTTCCCATAGCTTCTTCATAATTTTTTACCTGATTGAAAAAACATCCATGAAGAAGGGGGGAAAAGAATAGATTTAAGGTGATTTCTGATTGGAAATATTAGGAGTCCCCCATCTGGAAATAATCCAGAAGACCACATTGTAATGATCCCAGTAGTTGTAGAAAATTTTTTCTCTTTCAGTTTGGTTTCCACACCCATACTTACATACATTTAACTGATAGCAGTAGTTATGAAAAACTGACTTTAATGTCCATGTAATTTTATGTAAAACTATATGATTCTCAAGCTCTGGAGACCATAAAACATTCAAAATATTTATTTTGAATCTCTACCTGAATCCCTCCAACACAGGAACTGGTGATAGCATGGAAATCATCTTTAGAACACAGGGGACAGGCTTCGACCGTCTCCCATAGGAAATGGAAAGTGCATCCATCACAGGTTCCATCAGGACATTTGCTGTATGGAAAAAGTAAGAAGCCATAAATTAATGGAGGTAGATTAGTGGCCCACTTTGCCAGGCCATGTTGGCTAGAAGACTGTAAGAGCAGTGGTCCAAAAATTTAACATTTCTGAACCCTGTTTATAAGTATCAAAATCCAGCTGCAGAGGGTGTCATTGTGATTCCTTTTCCAAACCCACTATCAAAGATCATTTAGTCAATGAGATAATGAATCACAGTGTGGCAACTCTGCTATTGAGCCTAGAAGCAAATGTTAAAATCCATGGTTCTGACAGGATCTATCTTCAGAACATATTATCACTATTACTCTACTTGAACATCCTCAGTACACCTCTGTACAGTGGTGCCTCGCTTGACGACGTTAATCCGTTCCAGCAAAATCGCTGTAGAACGAAATCGTCATCAAGCAAAAGTAAAAAGTCCATTGAAACGCACTGAAAACCACTCAATGCGTCTCAATGGGCGAAATACCTCAGCGTCCAGCGAAGAGCCTCCA